ATAGAAACAAATTAATTGGCCAACTAACATATCTAAAAAAAAAATTAGCCAGGCATGGTGGCACGTGCCTGTAGTCCCAGCCACTAGGGAGGCTGAGGCAGAAGGATTGCTTGAGCCCAGGAGTTTGAGGTTGCTGTGAGCTAGGCTGACGCCATGGCACTCACTCTAGCCTGGGCAACAAAGCGAGACTCTGTCTCAAAAAAAAAAAAAAAGAATAATAATAAAACTTAATGGGTCTGTCTCGGGAGACAGAACTCCGTGTCTGGAGGGGCCCCCAAGGGTGGTACTGATGTCTGGGAGAAGCAGCAGAACTTACCAGGCTTGGCTGCCCATCAGTGATCCAGGACCTGGCTAGGGTAGGTAGGGGGTGGAACTCACTTTTTAAATTGAATCAATATCAGTCACTGCACACACACCTAGAGGTGGACACCAAGGGGGTCTGAAAGACAAGCCCCAGACTGTCTGCCACTGTGGAGCTGGCCCCACACATGTGGGTAGAGAGCAGGGGAAGGGACAGGGAGGTGCTGCAGGCAACCCCCGACTTGGAGGACCACTGAGAAGAGCAGGGCTGGGGGGTGTGGTGGTGCCTCTGTCCACAGTCAGAAAGGGGAAGGGGCAGCACCAGGGAGGTGTGGCCCCATCAGGCAGGTAGGTCATGTCACAAATCCAGCCACCTGTCTCTTTCAAGCTCTGCTAGTTTTTTTCTGTAGTACTTTATTTATTTAACTCTTCACCTTCTCTCTCTACCCCTTATCTGCACCTATTGCATACCCAGCCCTACCACGAGCTCTAGGCTGACCACTATGAAAGCCTTGCACACACTCACACATTACCCCAACACACTTAGACTCCTCTCTTTTGTCTTTAGGGGAGGCCTGGTAACTTCAGGATGTCCAGCCTGTCCCTCCTGCCCCTGAGCTGCCAGCAGACCAGAAAGCCCCATCTGTCTTTCTGGTGCTGATCTGGAATCCCTCCCCCATCTGCCTCTGGATTAATAGTTGTCAACATTTATTGGCTTACTGGATGCCTACTAGGTGCCAGGCTCCACCCTGCCCACTCCACATGCTGCATCACTTAGGAATGCGTTAGGCTCCTGTCGCAGAAACCTGACACAGCAGGCTAACCACATAAAACGTGTGCCCCTCACTCAGCAGGAAGACTCTGCGGCATCTCTGGGGTTCAGTTCCTTCCTGCCTCACTGTCCTCAGCATGTGGCTTTTGACCTTGGGGGCATGACACAGCTGAGGGCTGCAAAAATTCAGAGAATGGCACTAAGTCTGCACCACTTATGTGGAAAATGATGGCTTTCCTGAGGTCCCACCCAGGTGGTTCTCACAGTGCCCCACCTGCTGGGGAGGCTGGGGAGGCATTTCTGGGTCCAGGTCCTCTGAATAAAGGAAGAAGAACGTAGATCCCTGCCAGGAAGGCTGGCTTCTTCCCGCCCTCTGCATTTGCTGTAATCTAGTCCTCAAATCCAGAATGCCCTTCCTGCTGGCTGAACTCCTACCTTTCCAGAAAGCCCAGTTCAGATGCTACCTCCATCATGCAGTCTTTCCAGATTCCTCCTCCAGGGTCCTTCTCACTCCTGAGTCTGTGGGTGCTCTCTCTCGACTTCTACCTGCCTTGGCATTGTACTTGTCTGCATGGAGCCTGCTGTGGCTTAGCACCCAGAGGGCTTGCCCAGCAGAAGGAAAGGATGGGCACATGAATGAACTGCGTATTCTTCTTTCCTTCCAGGCCACGTCTATTCTTTGCAATGTTTATTTATTTATGTTTTGAGACAGAGCCTGTTGCCCTGGCTAGAGTGCCATGGCATCAGCCTAGCTCACAGCAACCTCAAATGCCTGGGCTCAAGCGATCCTCCTGCCTCAGCCTCCAGAGTACCTGGGACTACAGGCAGGTGCCACCATGCCTGGCTATTTTATATATATATATATTTTTTTTTTTTAGTTGGCCAATTAATTTGTTTCTATTTTTAGTAGAGATGGGGTCTCGCTCTTGCTCAGACTGGTTTTGAATTCCTGACCTTGAGTGATCTGCCTACCTCAGCCTCCCAGAGTGCTAGGATTACAGGTGTGAGCCACTGCGCCCAGGCTGTAATCTTTTTGAGTTCAAGTTCTTTCTCCCTCCCAGAGTCCTCCCCCAGCCTCTCTCCAGCTGGCTGCTGTGGGGAGCAGAGCTCAAGCCTCAGACAGCTTCCACGTGGCACTGTGCTAATATTGGCCACATCAGGAAGCATCTCTGAGCCCACTTAGTCATCTGTCAAATGAGAAGCTGTGCTCAAAGTTTCTCTTTGTGCTAAAAATCTCAACCATGCCCTAATTCAAGGCTTGTATCCTTCTAGTGCAGGGGAAGGATTCTATCAAATTCTTATCTCACAGTTTAAAACCAGACTTCAAAATAAGTAACTACTTTAATGGAACTGTCACAGCCCATGGATGGACACAAGAGTCACATGAAAATGAGGACTGTCTGAAAGGGAAGTGGAACTGGCTTGGGTTCCATTTTTATTAAAGCTTTTGTTGAATTAAATGTACAGAAAAGTGCATATATCTTCTTTTTTTTTTCTATTTTAACTCTTATTCTTCTTTTTACTTATTTTTTTTTGTTTATTCCCTTACATGTTCCTACAGATTCTAAAAAAGTGCATATATCGGCCGGGCGCTGTGGCTCACGCCTGTAATCCTAGCTCTTGGGAGGCCGAGGCGGGCGGATTGCTCAAGGTCAGGAGTTCAAAACCAGCCTGAGCAAGAGCGAGACCCCGTCTCTACTATAAATACAAAGAAATTAATTGGCCAACTGATATATATATAAAAAAATTAGCCGGGCATGGTGGTGCATGCCTGTAGTCCCAGCTACTCGGGAGGCTGAGGCAGGAGGATCGCTTGAGCCCAGGAGTTTGAGGTTGCTGTGAGCTAGGCTGACGCCACGGCACTCACTCTAGCCTGGACAACAAAGTGAGACTCTGTCTCAAAAAAAAAAAAAAAAAAAAATTAGCCGGGCATGGTGGCGCATGCCTGTAGTCCCAGTTACCCGGGAGGCTGAGGCAGAAGGATCGCTCGAGCCCAGGAGTTTGAGGTTGCTGTGAGCTAGGCTGACGCCACGGCACTCACTCTAGCCTGGGCAACAAAGTGAGACTCTGTCTCAAAAAAAAAAAAAAAAAAAAAAAGTGCATATATCTTAAGTGTCCAGGTCGGTTAATATCTTTGCAGTGAGAACACATCCATGTAATCACCAGTCAAATCAAGACTAAGAATGTGACTGTTCCCAAAGCTCCCTCAGGCCCCTCCAGTCATTACCTCCCAGGATGCCCATCATTGACTTATAACTGTGCAACAGGGCTTGACTAGCTTTGGACCTTTCCTGCTAATGGAGTCACCTGGCATGTACACTTTTGTGACTGGCTTCTTTCACTCAATATTGTCTGTGAGATTCATTTATGTTGTGTGTATCAGTGGTTGTTCTTTTCATTGTCGGTATTCCCACACATGAGCCTACAGTTTATTTATCCACTCCACAGCTGATGGATATTTGGGTACTTTCCAGTTTGGGACAATTAAGACTACATTGTGAACATTCTATACAAGTCTTTTGGTGAATATCAGCCCTCATTTCACTCAGGTAGGATCAGGAGTGGCAGTGCTGGGCCACTGAGCAGTGTGGTTAGCATGATAAGGCACCAGCTGTTTTAGATGACATGAGTTGGCATGTGTGGATGTTCCCACTGTGCCCAGGACACAAGGACTCTCAGAAGTGAAGGTTGGACCCGGAAGGGATCTCCCAGGACACACCCACAAGAAGCCTCAGGTGAGACCTCCACTTTGCTGCCTGCCCTGAATCCCCTCTCCCCACCAGGCTGAGGAAGCCCTCCACGGTACCAACTCTGTGTGGGTCCCCCACTGTCCTCTGCCATAGTGGTTCAGGCCAGCCTCTCACTGCTGTCTTCTCCACGCCCCTCACATGAGGTCAGCCCTCTAGTGGTCAGGAACTTGGTATGGACTCACTGAGGAGTGGACAAGGACCAGGACACCACATTCCAGATGCTAGGTGGCCCTCTGTTACCAGAACCCTCTGCCAGCTCTCTGCTCTAATCAGCTGGCAGACACAAGCCCTGGCTGAGTGATAGTGACTGGGGCCCAGGAACTGAGCCAACATCACTCCCCAACCTTGTAGCTGAGGCCCCACACTGTCTCTGGCCCCACTCCACCACCTACAAATATATTTATGTGTTGTACCTGTGGTCAAAATGCCCACATACCTTGGCCAGCCCCTGCCACTTCCTCTAGCCTCCCTCAGCCACACCCATACTACCCAGGTCCTATGGCCCAAGAGGCCCAGAGTGCCCTCTCTCAGAGGGCCTTGGCTCCAGGATCCCTGCCAGGGCCGTTCTGCCCTGTCCTTCATTTCTTGTCACCAAAGAGTTTGTTTAGGTCTGCTCCAGTCTCACCTGTGCGTGGCTCTGGGGGGAACCATCACCACTGTTGTCAGACCTTCACAATGGTGCAAAGAGGGCAGCCTGAGCAGGAAGGCTTCCTCCCAAGTTTGGATATGAGCACATATGGAAAGGCAAAAAAAAAAAAAAAAAAAAAAGAGGGACGAAAGGGGATTCTAGGCTCAGAGAACAGTTATTCACCTGCCAAGAGTAAAGAAGTGTGTACCTTTGTTTGGGGGGTAGGGGAAGGAGCAGTCAGCAAGGCCCAGGTAGGCGCTGAGGAACCCCAAACGCCTCTGGGCCAAGTCTCCAAGTTGGGGCTTTGGAGACTTGGCCCAGGCGCTGGGCCAAGGGGCTTGGGGAAAGGCGCTGGAGGCTGGTGCCTGGCAGTGCTCCTTCCAACTTCAAGGTATAAACCTCTTCTCTGTACCTCTGTCCCTCAAAGAGGAGTCAAGAAGGGAGCTTGTTGGAAGCGGGAGTCTGAAAGGAAAAGCTAGTCAGCCTTACTAAGTGCTCGCCCTGGGTGACAGTATAAGAGGCTTCACTGGAGCCCAGTGAAGGTGAGTGACCTGCCCCGGACACACAGCTGGTGACAGGGTTGGGATCTGAGTTTGGATTGTTCTACGCGGACCCGAGCCCCAGCCTTAACTCGCTGCGGTAGCCCACAACCCAGAATCAGCGCAAAACTGCCTAAACAAGCACATTTCCCTCCAAAGTCACGATATCCATGAGTGACGCCAAGAAATCTGCATTTTAACAGGTGCCCCAGTGATTCTCACGTCTACAGACCAGACTGAGCTCAGCCCTGAACCTTCCGGCTCCAGCGCAGCTACTCGGCCCAGGCCTGGGTCCACCAGCCGCCCACGAGCCTCCTAAGGCTGGCAGACGACGCAGGGGGGAGCCGAACCCTGGACTCAGACAACTCCGGCCTCTTTCGGAAAGTCCACGCGCCGGGCCGCCGTGGGGCCGCTGCGCCCCCTAGCGGCCAACGGGGTCTATGGCTCGGAGGGTCCAGGGTTTCTAGCCGGGACCCTGCGTGCCCGGAACGGGAGAGACCGGCGTGGCCCCACTGCCAGCTAGGAGCTTGAAGGTCTTTGGCCCGACGGGGAAGCTCGCCTGTGCCCGGGGTCCAGGCGTAGGGAGACACCACCCATGCCCGTCTCCCAGAGAACCGCACCAGACGTGAGCACTCCGCCCACCCCAGTTGCGTTGGCTCGTGAGCGCGCCCGTGATCGGCGTGCGCATGCGCCCACGGGTCACCTAGCCGCCATTGCTCTCCTGCCGCCGAGCGGAGCGGCTTGTTAGCCGTCCGCGGCCTGGGAAGGAAGGTTGAGTGCAGCGCCTCGACGACAGAGCCCCGGAGCTGCGGGGGCAGTACACGTAGGGCGGGGAGCCCCGTTTAGGCCTGGTTGACTAGAGTAAGGAACTACAATCCCCGAAGTGCATTGCGCCGCAGGGTTGAGGGAGGCAGTGACGTAAGCGGTCTTGGCCGCCACCATTTCTCTCGTGGTGGGGGACGAGGTGGCGAGGGCTGATGACGCGCTGTTTTGGGGCTGGAGAGTCGCCGGGTTCTGGTTTTCGAAGGGCCTCCGCGAACCTTGTTTGACCAGTATACTTGCTGACTGTACCTGCTGCCTTTCGGTCCCCAGGCCGGCCACTGAGCCGGTCAGATACCATTATTATTATTTAGTCTTTATTTTGAAATAATTTCAAACATCTCCCGTATACCTTTTGATAAGATTCAGTTATTACAGTTTTTGCCCCATTTGCTTTATCTTTTTTCTCTATTCTTTATGCCTTTTTTCCTGGACCGTGTGAGTTAACTGTATATATGATACCTCTTTATATTTAGAGGTTCATCTGTATTTTCTAAAAACAAGGACATGCTCCTACATTCGAAATTGGATAACATTGATCAAGACTCTTTTCTAATCCATAGTCCATATTTAAATGTTCCCAGTTGTCCTAACAATGCCCTTTATGGAATTCACCTTTTTTTTTTTTTTTTTTTTTTTTTTTTGAGACAGAGTCTCGCTTTGTTGTCCAGGCTAGAGTGAGTGCCGTGGCATCAGCCTAGCTCACAGCAACCTCAAACTCCTGGGCTCGAGCGATCCTTCTGCCTCAGCCTCCCGAGTAGCTGGGACTACAGGCATGCGCCACCATGCCCGGCTAATTTTTTTATATATATATCAGTTGGCCAATTAATTTCTTTCTATTTATAGTAGAGACGGGGTCTCTTGCTCTTGCTCAGGCTGGTTTTGAACTCCTGACCTTGAGCAATCCGCCCGCCTCGGCCTCCCAAGAGCTAGGATTACAGGCGTGAGCCACCGAGCCCCGCCGAATTCACCTTTTTTTAATTCCAATCCAGGAACACACTTGCATTCAACTGTCGGTTCTCTTTAGTCTCAGAGCAGCTCCTCATGTTTTCCATGACTTTCATGACGTTGACACTTTTGAAAATTCCTGACCAGTTGTTTTGTAGAACTAGGTTTAGGGGTGTCTAAGGTTTCTTCACTAGTAAACTCTGGTTTTTTGTTTTTGTTTTTGTTTTTTTGAGACAGAGTCGCATTTTGTTGCCCAGGCTAGAGTGAGTGCCGTGGCGTCAGCCTAGTTCACAACAACCTCAAACTCCTGGGCTCAAGCAATCCTTCTGCCTCAGCCTCCTGAGTAGCTGGGACTACAGGCATGTGCCACCATGCTTGGCTAATTTTTTCTATATATATTAGTTGGCCAATTAATTTGTTTCTATTTATAGTAGAGACGGGGTCTAGCTCTTGCTCAGGCTGGTTTCGAACTCCTCGAGCAATCCACCTGCCTCGGCCTCCCAGAGTGCTAGGATTACAGGTGTGAGCCACCACGCCCGGCCGCTAGACTCTGTTCGATGGTGCTGACCTGATGCTGTTTTTCAGAGGAGGGGGTGTGTCTTGGGTGGGTGAGGAGGATCAGTGTCCCGCCACACCGGCCTCTGGACACACTCCCAGACCCTGCTAGGCCAGTCACTTCCCTTGGGTGCTCTCCCTGCTCAGTTTTCACTCTTACCTCACCAAGGTCTTTGACTTCCCATAGCACCTGCCCTGGAACCATGGTCCACGCCTTCCTCATTCACACCTTGAGGGCCCCGCATGCTGAGGACACGGGCCTTTGCCGAGTGCTCTACTCCTGTGTCTTTGGTTCTGAGAAGTCACCTGATGACCCACGGCCACATGGTGCCGAGAGGGACAGACTCCTCCGCAAGGAGCAGATTTTGGCTGTGGCCAGGTAACTGCATAACCCAGCCCCAGGTATTTTGGGGGACACAGAGAAGCAGGAGGACTAAGAAGCAGAGAGAAAGTTTAGAGTTGTTTCTCAAAGAGTCTTCCGCGGTTGTTAATAAGTGTTATATGGAAAAGGATTAAAGAAATAATAATGCTGTTATCATTATTATTAAGGTTAGCATTTATTGAGCTGGTAAGTATGTGCTAAGCATTTATATTCTGAGCATTTCATGTATATTAACTCATTTAATTGTCAGAACAGTCTTTTGAGGTAGGTATGGGTTATCTCTACCTTACAGATGAGTAAACTGAAGTACAGAGTGTTTAAGGAACTGAACCTGCCCAAGGTTATGCAGCTAGAAAGTGGCAGAACTGGGATTTGAGTTTAGTCAGGCAAACTGCAGTACAAATTAAACATGTTTTGCAGTGCAGGACTTCTCAGGGCCTTTAGTATGCCTGTAGACTTTATAATCTCTAAGGAAGAGAGAGAATGTGGTACATGGGGACTCTATAACTAGGGTCCCCAGAAAGCCTGGGATCCAGAGCACAGTTTGGAAAACACTATTTCAGACTGGGTAGCTAAGCTTGGACCTTCCTCTCCCAGACCCAGACAGACTGGCAGGTGCTAAAGTCTCCCAGCCCCATTTCATCTGAGTGAGGGATTACTACTACAAAGGCAACCCTTTGGTGGCTCCTGCCTTCTCTGTTTTTTTTTTTTTTTTTTTCTTCTGTCTTTCCCCTTCCTATAGTATAGAAAACCACACAAATGCCTTTAAACCTGTGCATGGCCCAAACTAAAAGGCAATCCCGGAAGGATCGAAGGAGCTTTCAAAAGCCGTGACAGTCTGGCTGGGCTTGGTGGATCACACTTGTAATCCTAGCACTCTGGGAGGCCCAGGGGGAGGATCCCTTAAGCTCAGGAGTTTGAGACCAGCCTCAGCAAGAGTGAGACCCTTTCTCTATTAAAAATAGAAAAAAATAGGCCGGGCGCTGTGGCTCACGCCTGTAATCCTAGCTCTTGGGAGGCCGAGGCGGGCGGATTGCTCAAGGTCAGGAGTTCAAAACCAGCCTGAGCGAGACCCCGTCTCTACTATAAATAGAAAGAAATCAATTGGCCAACTGATATATATATATAAAAAATTAGCCGGGCATGGTGGCGCATGCCTGTAGTCCCAGCTACTCGGGAGGCTGAGGCAGAAGGATCACTCGAGCCCAGGAGTTTGAGGTTGCTGTGAGCTAGGCTGACGCCATGGCACTCACTCTAGCCTGGACAACAAAGCGAGACTCTGTCTCAAAAAAAAAAAAAAATTAGAAAAAAATAGCTGGGTGTGGGGATGTACGCCTGTGGTTCCAGCTACTTGGGAGGCTGAGGCAGAAGGATTGCTTGAGCCCAGGGATTGGAGGTTGCTGTGAGCTAGGCTGACACCATGGCATGCTAGCCTGGGCAACAGAGCGAGACTCTGTTTCAAAAAAAGCCTTGACAATGAAGTGGAAGGTTTTCTGTTTTACTTGGAGAGGGTTGCAGGATGGGTGGAGTATGGAGAGGTCGGACAGCCCAGGTTGGGCAATGAATGTATTCTCCTCCTCATCGCTTACTTCTGTGAAGCAGGTGAAGGCAGGATCTTCTTCCTCTCATGCCCTCTTCTAGCCCACAGAGCTGGGTTCAAAACCTGCTTTCTCTTTCCCACGTAGAGTGAAGTGGTTCAGGGCCTGGAGGCTGAGGCTTGGATTCCTATCTAGTCTCACGCTTCCTAGCTGTGTGGCCCTGGGCAGGTCACTTAGTCTCTCTGGGCCTCAGTTTTCTCACCTGAGATGTGGAGATAATGGTAGCTGCCAGCACCAGGGGTGGTCATGAGGATGACAGAAGTGTGTATGCATACTGCTAAGGTGGCCTTGCCAGGCCTGTCACCTGCCAGCCTGACCTGCCCATTCTCCCCAGGCAGGTGGAGTCAATGTGCCGGTTGCAGCTGCAGGCATCCGGCAGGCCCCCCATGGACCTGCAGCCCCAGTCCTCAGATGAGCCAGTGCCCTTGCACGAGGCCCCACGCGGAGCCTTCCGCCTGGCTGCAGGCGACCCTTTCCAGGAGCCACGGACAGTGGTGTGGCTGGGTGTGCTCTCATTAGGCTTCGCCCTGGTGCTGGACACCCACGACAACCTGCTGCTGGCAGAGGGCACGCTCCGGCTGCTGGCCCGTCTCCTCGTGGACCACCTCCGGTTGCTGGCCCCTGGCGCCAACCTCTTGCTGCGGGCTGACCGCATCGAGGGCATCCTCACCCGCTTCCTGCCTCATGGTCAGCTGCTCTTCCTCAACGACCAGTTCATCCAGGGCCTGGAAAAGGAATTCAGTGCTGCCTGGCCCCGCTGATTCCTTGCTGGGATGGGGCTTCCCAGGAGGGCAAAGAAGGAGGGCAGAGGCTGGACACACAGCCAGGTGAAGGGTGGCATCTGCCTCCTGCCCAGCCTGCTCCCAGCTCTGATGTGCTGTCACACTCAGGACAAGTGGGCTGGACAGAGGGTGGGGTGGGTTGCTGGGTCTGTCCTCACGTTGGTGAAATCACAAAACATCCTGAGCCTAGAGCTGCCATGTGACTTTTTCAGACTGCTGCTTTGTCCTTAACCCACCTTTCTCCAGCCTCAGCAGCCACTGGTGCAGGAGGGGGCTGCCAAGAACTTAGCCCGCCTTGTCCTTCCAAACTCACAGTCATTGCAATGCAAAAGGGGTTCCAGGGAGCTGCGTCCACACTTTGGCAGGCCCTGGCCCCGACTTTGTATCCACTTAGGTGATGTCATCAAGGATTTTGTTGGTGAGGGGCTGCCCAGTGTCCAGCTCTGCCACGGTTCAGGAATGTGTGAGCCATTCGGCAGGAGGATTCTGAAGCTCCTTTTGCACTAAGCCCAGGCACCAGATCAGATCATCACCGGCTTTCCTCATCTTCAGAGAGAAGGTGCCGTCAGGTGAATGCGAGAGGTCTGGTTTGATGACATCGTCTTTCTTATTTTGAATTAAAAGCACTGTGTGATCTCACCCTCTTTTTCTGTGAATTTGACAAATGCAGTCTGCTCCTGTGAGAGAGCACGTCTAGATGGCCCTCACGCTGGGTGTCTGAGCCTTTCTGGTCAAGGGTCCCTCCCAAGGGGCTATTACATCCCTCATCTGCCACCTTACCTCTGTCTCTGTATGTGCCTCCTTTGGATGGTGTTGCTTTGACAAGGCTTGGCACAGGTGGTTTGTGCGGGAGGTGATCTCTGGAAGCTGGGAGGGCAGGCAGCGCGAGCAGGTGCCTCATCAAGTCTGTTAGGACGTGGGTGGGGAGCTTAGTGCCCTGGGGCCAGCACGCAGTAGGCATCTCTGAATTATCTTACTTGAGGGGTGAGGAGCTGTGGCTGTTTGTCTTCCCACCTGCCGTAGTCAGTGGTTGTGGGTTGATCCCAAGGTACATAAATTCCCTGGCTATTCCTGCCTTCAGGCAGTGTAGGGCTGGGCCCACCTGCACCATAATGAGTTCCAATGGTATATGGCTGGGGTACTGAACACCAGTTGTTAGGGGGTCTTTAATCAGAGCTTCTAGTGATGTTTAAAAATTATTCAGTTGGCAAAAACCTCAATTTACATCCATTTTCGTGATCTGCCTGTTACCAAGAAGGGCGAGGCTTTCTTAGCATGGGCAGAATGAGCCTCCTAGGTGGTCACGATGCAGGTGTGGGTCCATTTCACGCTTGCTTCGTGTCCGTTGCTCTTGAGCACCCAGGACAGACTCACCACACCCACGTAGGAGGCAGGCTGATGATCAGCCCTTCTCAGTCTGTAGCCAAGGCCACTAGCCGTGCCAGGCCTTCCACCACCACTGTCACCATCTTTGGGACTAGGCCACCTTATCCATCTTAGGGTTCTACAAATCACCCCCTGACCTTGAAGACCTAAAGGGAGGTCAATCTCAGTCACCAGAAATGCCCCGAAGGCCCCCAGTGGGGACATCCCTACCCCTATACAGTCTGCTCTCCTGGGGCTGCTCCTCCCCTGACCCGGGGCGGGTGGTCCCGGTGGAGCAGCCGTGTTCTCACATGAACGGGCCATTCTGGCCTCAGTGGAAAGGTGCACACTTGCTGGTCCAAATTCTTTCTGCCTGTTTGTCAAACTGAGTGTAAGGAAGAACTTGAGACCCTGCTCCCTGGAGGCTGTGGGAAGTTGAGGTTAGGTGTGGCTGGCGGCCAGCCAGTGGCAGAGCCTGAGTCCATGCCCTGGGGCCACTGAGCCCCTGGTCTCTCTTGTTCTGGACAACCCCTGGGCCAGGGTTTCTTTAACCATGTGAGCTCACGCACACCTTTTCCACACTCCCCAGCTCCTCTGGCCAGGTTTCCACCACAACTTACACTTACCTCACATTCACCGAGCCCGCCTTGGCCTGCTGGGTGCTGTGTAGGGTACAGAGAGGTCCCCAGTGTTGCAGGCAGTGGAGCTAGACCAGATGACTGCATACCAACATGGTTTGGGCATCACTGAATTGATGTTTTTGGTGTCTAAGGGAGGAGAGGGGGCCAATTAGTGAGGAAGTTCCAGTGAGGGAGCCAGGATTTAGGACTAAAATTAAGATTGCAGCAGAAGCAAACTTGCTTCCCCCTCCAAGCCTCCTCCCTCTCCTCTCTCTGCCCCAGGAGCCCTGGCCAAGCCACACACCCCTTGGCCTCCTGGGAGTACTGGAGACTTTGAGCAGCTGGTCTCAGTCTTGATACCAGGGCACCTCTGTGAATATTCCTGGGACAATAGGAAGATGGCAGGAGGGAGGGGAGTGGGGGCGTGGGGAGCTCACTGAAGGGAGGAGAAGGTCATAGGTTTCAAGCTAGGAAGTGGCCTGGACTTGTGCGGGTCCATTGGAAGGATACTGGCCCTGGGACAGGATCACTATTTAGCCCTTAAGGCAGGGTGGTTTTATTCTAGCCCTGGGGCACTGCACACTGTGGTCCAGCATGCCCCCAAGCTCAATCTTTCCTTTTTCTTTCTTTTTTTTCTTTTCTTTTTAAAAATAGAGACCGGGGTCTTGCTCTTGCTCAGGCTGGTCTCAAACTCCTGACCTTAATCGATCCTTCCACCTGGGCCTCCCAGAGTGGTAGGATCACAAGCGAGAGCCACTGCACCTGGCCTCAATCTTTCCTTTTAAACACTTATTCATATATTTTATTGTAAATGCAGTTAACAGATTCTGTTTGTCAGATGCAACACTCAGTGACCTCTTAATCAAGGCTTTGTATGTTTGTGCCTGCAATTGAAGTGGACTTGACTTTTTTGTTTTTTAAAAGAGACTTTATTTTTTTAGAGCAATTTTAGGTTCACAACAGCAAAATTGAGAGGAATGTACAAAGGGTTCCCATTTACTCCCCACCCTCATACATGCACAGCCTCCCCTGTTATCAGCAGGCACCAGAGTTGTACTTTGTTACAAGTGATGAACGTACACTAGTACATCATTATCGCCCAAAGTCCGTAGTTTAGGGTTCACTCTGTGCTGTATATTCCGTGGGTTTAGACAAATGCATAATGGCATCATTGAGAATAGTTTCACTGCCCTAAAAACCCTCCATGCTCCACCTGTTCATCCTCCCTGCCCCCAACCCCTGATCTTTTTTACTGTCTTCATAGTTTTGCATTTTCCAGAATGTCATATAATTGAAATCATACAGTGTGTAGCCTTTTTTTTTTTAATTTTTTTTTTTCTTTGGAGACAGAGTCTCGCTTTGTTGCCCAGGCTAGAGTGAGTGCCAGGGCGTCAGCCTAGCTCACAGCAACTTCAAACTCCTGGGCTTAAGCGATCCTTCTGCCTCAGCCTCCCGAGTAGCTGGGACTACAGGCATGTGCCACTATGCCTGGCTCATTTTTTCTATATATATTAGTTGGCCAATTAATTGCTTTCTATTTATAGTAGAGACAGGGTCTCTCTCTTGCTCAGGCTGGTTTTGAACTCCTGACCTCGAGCAATCCGCCCGCCTCGGCCTCCCAGAGTGCTAGGATTACAGGCGTGAGCCACCGTTCCCTGCCTGTTTACAGTCTTTTAAAAAATGGATATCAGTCTCTCAGTTATGAATTTTCCTATGATCACTGTTTTAGCTGTATCCCATAATAACACAGGAAAGTGACTCCCAATGCTGGGAGCCACTTGAAGTCCAAGTGGGTCCTTGGCTTCCTGCAAGAAAGAACTCAGGAGAGAGCTGACATATAAAGTGAAATTAAGATTTATTCAGAAACTATAGAAAGTCTACTCCTCAGACAGAGCAGAGGAGAACCAGCTGGGGTTCCTGTGGCCTTTCTATTTAAATACCAGCTTAATTATAGGCTAAACAAGGGGAGGAATATTCACGAAAGGGACGATGTTTCACCATCTTGGTTCTAACTGGTATTGCCTCCATCTTGTGTTATCATAGCAATTTGAAACTTTTTTTTGAGACTTCCTGACTCAGTTAGATAATGCTGCAGCAATGCCCAAAGCAGTACCTGCAGCAGTACCTGCCAGTTTCCTGTCTCGGTAGGTTCTGACACGTGATGTTGTCACTACTGATGTTTTCTAGAAAATCTGTAGCTTCAGTTTTTTCCTTTTTGACTCTATTTTTTTAAGAGATGGGATCTCACCATGTTGCCCAGGCTGGACTTGAGCTCCTGGGCTCAAGTGACCCTCCTGCCTGAGCTACCTGAGTAGCTGGGACTACAGATGCATGCCACCATGCCTGGCTGATTCCCTATTTCTACATGACTTCATGAGAACAATATTTCTGATTTCTTGTATGTTAAAACAAATTCTTTTTGGAGCTTTTATGCTTGCTCTTTTTGCCTGGGTGCCCCAAAGACTCTTTATCTTTAAATTACAGTAATATTACTAGAATATATCTCATAGGGTAAACATGTTTTTTCAAAAGTAGATTGAAGTCCTTTTTTATTTCAGAAACATTAAAAATTGTGTAAGTTTTGCGGTGGCAGAAGAAGTAGCGTTTATTCAAAGTGCTCCCAGGTGAGGTTCAAGGGTCCCAGAACAGGGGGGGGCCCAGAAGTAGTGCTGCCCAGGACTGCGAGTTAGCTTTTATAGGGGGATAGCTGTCGTTGTTGTCTGCCTCCGGGGGTTGAGGCAGGATATTTTGCACCCAGGGCATCTTCCTGCTTTGCCTTGGGGGTGTCCGGTCTGGCAAGATGTTCCCTTGGTAACAGGATGCAGTTAGGGCAGCTGCTGTGCAAGGTCTTTAGGCTTTGCAATGCTGTGAGGATGGGGGCAGAGGGGAGGGGGGACCCTGCCACCAGCCTTACATCCCAGCCTTTTTGGTTATAAATTGTCGCCGACTCATTCTAGCTTCTTCAAGCTGGATTGGGGTGACGTGGGGCTAAAGGCAGGATTGGACTGTGGCGGAGCCATGGGCAAAGGGGAGTAGGCGTACAGAAGGAGTTGGTTTGTGGCCACTCTAGAGAGCTCTTGGAGGCGTCTTGGGAGGAACTGTAACAAGCAAGGGGCTCGGAGACAAATTAGACAAATGATTATTATGGGCCCTATTAGTGGTAGGATCCAAGCCGCAAGGGGAGATTGTATCCAACGAAAAGGTGGAGGGATCCTTGCGACCATAGCCCTGCAGGTCCTTTCTGATTTCAGACAGCTTGTTAATGTTTTGTTCTACTAACCCCAATTCATTTATGTAATAACAGCATTCTTCTTGGAGAAACATGCATGTTCCACCCTTGTCCACTGTTAGGAGATCTAAGGCCCGCCAGTTCTGGAGGGTCACCTGTGCCAGGGATGTCAGTTGTCTCTGTAATGATGTTAAGGAGGCTGACGTGGTTTCAAGGGCCAAGTCTAGGCCGGGCGCTGTGGCTCACGCCTGTAATCCTAGCTCTTGGGAGGCCGAGGCGGGCGGATTGCTCAAGGTCAGGAGTTCAATGAGCAAGAGCGAGACCCCGTCTCTACTATAAATAGAAAGAAATTAATTGGCCAACTGATATATATATAAAAAATTAGCCGGGCATGGTGGCGCATGCCTGTAGTCCCAGCTACCCGG